TAAATAGTAAAGTGGGTGCTTCTGCGCTCTTGTGAAACATAATGTCACTATTTCTTAAAAGAGGTGTTGTTGCTTTGAATATATGTTTTTTTTTTTTCTCTTTTTCTTTCTTTTTGTTTCATCAGCAAAATTGGTATTCTAGTTAACGACAGTAAATGTAAAGAAACACTTTTGTTGTTCCTTACAAATACTTCCGCTTTGCAATAAGGGGATATGTTTTTCTACTTTTGGGCAGAAGAATTCATTAATTAGGGATGGATTAGAATACATAGGTAGAGTAAGAGAAACATTAGTTATGTTCTCAACCCCCATACAAAGATAAAGTATTCTCCTCTTCAAATGGTATGACAAGATGATTGCTGCAGAAAGAAGGCAAACGAAAAAAACAAAAAAAAAGAGAGAGACATAAGCAAAGAAGTATCAACATTATTCTGCTGCAAGCATGAGAGCTAGGTTAGCTAAATAATAATGTCTCCGTCTATAATGTGTGTGTATGTATGTGTGGTGTTGTTGTTTTATAATCAATGGATTTTCTTTTTTTTTTATTTCTAATGTTTTATTATTATTATTTCTTTTTGTTTATTTATTTGCTTTTCTTTGAATTATCTAAAGAGCCCATTCCCCTTCTATTTTTTTTTTTACGTGGGGAAGTGCTACCCGTTCATGGGGATGAGGAGTCTTTTTTTTTTTCTATTTGTGAATATCAAGGTTGGGAATATTCCCTGTTTTATTCTTCTGTTTTTTTTTTTCTGGATCCTGTGCTTTTCTGTACTCTAATGTTTACTCTTTCTATCTATTTATCTCTGTGGGGGAATGTCTTTTGGGTGGGGAGATTGCTGACGTGTAGATAAATTGCTTACACTGGGATCACCAAATAGAAAAAAAAAAGAAAAAAGAAAAAAAGAAGTTAGAGCAAAAAAAAAAATATATTTGATTAATTAACAGAAAAAGCAAAAAAAATAAAAATTATGCCGTGTTGTACCAAAATCCCGGAAACTGCTGACAAGGATGTTGACGATGTTGGTCAATATCTGGAAGGATTGTCCAAAGCATTTAAGTCCCTTGAAAAGAATATCGCTGAGACGATAACGGAATACCAGCAACTGATGACCTCCTATGAAAAAGTGGCTCATACCTTTACGGAAATAACACAAGAAAATGACCGTAATATCCAATTATTTTCCAAGGACTTTGAGGCAGAAATGAGAAAACTAAAGGATGGTCCAGCCATGGCATCATTGCAGATGGATATTTCCCGATATGTTAAAGAAGGACTAAAACCCATCATCGCTGAACGTGAAAAAGTTGCCAAAATGTATAAAGTTCTCAGGGATTTAAGGAAATCGTACGATACATATCGCTATGACATTAGCGAAACTGAAAAAAAATATGCAAAAAAAAATAAATCTCTGACAGAAAGTAAATCATATGCACAAAAGGGCAAAAAACGTGATGAGGTATCGGCAAAATATGAAACTAGAAAGAAAGAAATAGTAACTGCAGTTGCACACTTAAAAGAACTCATCTACGATTTTGTTTCACACGCACTTCCAGGATATGCGGTATCTTCGGGTTCTTTTGCGAAGCATTTGGGACTACAATTGGAATCTTATGCTGCAGGCATCGGACCAAAGGCTAATGTTGGTACCACTTCGGAAACCAGTCACAATAATGGTAGTCTTGTTGAAGAAAATGGTAAAAGTATGGATGGAAAACAATCTGATTTATTACAAAAAAATACATCTTCTAACCCCTTGACTCTTGAGCAAGAATACTATCAACAAATCGCAAAATAGCATTTCTCAGTCAAAAGAAATACAATCACGATCCTTGACATTTTGTGGATCTATAATACTTTGCGAAAAAAAAAAAGTTAGTCATACATCAGTATTAAGGTTAAAGAAGAAACAAAAAAAGAAAAGAAAAAAAAAGAGGAATAAACTTTTTATCCATAATTGTTTTGTGCTTTGTTTTATCACTACTTTTATGTATCTTTATACAGGACATTCAACACCAATCTAGATATGGATCGTCATGTCTCTCTCAGATAAATGTTAAGTATCGACCGTAGCGAAACATAAACGAAATTTACAGATGTCAAACTACAAAATATAACTTTACCCTCTAAATGCTCACATCAAGTAAAATAATCTTTTCTTTTCTTATTATTTTTTTTATCACACAACCAACAACTTTATAAAGCATTAACGTCACCCAAGTAAGGTATCATGACGAAGTTTGTTAGGCGTAGCCAATCTAGTGTCACATTTCAAGTAGTTATTTCATAGTTTCCAAAAGCCGGAGCGGAGTTTCCCCACCAGATGCTGACCTTAACAGGAGTTTCGGTACCAGCATAGGTCTGTTGTGTCTTTGGGTTGTTTATTTATTTATTTTTAAATTTTCTCATTCTGGGGTGCAAACATCTGTTTTCTTGGGAATACCGCCGTCAAGGAGGATGACGATGGAGGGATATAATATCCGTGCCCTCGTGGCGGTGCAAATACAGAAATGGAGGACCCGAAGAATAATTAGAGTCACCACCAGCTCCCTTTCTCTGTGATTTATCCTTGGCATTCTATATATGATTATTTATCGCGTAGAATGTTTTTTTATGTTTGAGTTTCTGGATGAGTGATGTCTCGAATGGTTTGACAGTGTTGCTTTGAATTACTGTGGTACTCTTTACAACCTTTTGTTGTACGGACATCTCTGTGTATCTTTGTATATGTGGTTAACATTACACACAGTGACTGCGTACCCGAGTGTTCACCCATCTATGGTACCACTGTATTATACCATACACTGATATTCTTTCTCTTTTCCGTTCATCTTTTTCCCATCTGTGTGTTTTTCTTTCTTTTGTTTCTTGTAGATTTGCTGTTTAAAAACCACAAAGCAAGCACATCTTTATGTCCATTATACACAACTGTGAGAGAATGACCCGACAGATGCACGTCTCACTGTTTTTTCTGCTGCTGTTGTTTCTATTTGTACAGTTGTGCAGCACGAGTGGAATCCTCGCCGAGGAGCAGTCGACTGAAGTTGTGCAGGAGGTGCCCAAAGAGGGACAGGGCGCATCATGGGGGTACACCATCGTTACGACGAACCGAACGTTTATCCGCATAAATACCTCAACAGAGGACTTGACCGAGGATAAGTACTGCACTGCGGTCGGAGAAGTGATCAAAGACTTCAAGGAAGAAGATGCTCAGTGCCAAGGTCATTTCGTTCTTTCTGAGAAAATGAAAAAGACTTTTCTCGACACAATTCTTCCTGCAGCTATTAAACTACACGCGGATCGTCTGCTCGTTGATCCTGTTGAAGGTCCGTTGAAGGTTCCTGAGTTTGAAGAGGGCAGTGTTTGCAAGAACTTTACTGTTCCTCCCAAACACCGTAAAGAAGGTGTTGAGAATGCTGACATGGTGCTCTATGTTGCAGCGAGACCAGAAAATGCGTTTGGCGTTCCCTGTGCTTATGATGATAAGTCTGGTCGACCTGTTGCTGGGGCGATAAATGTTCAGATATATCCCCTCAAGATACAGCGATATAATGTGCGTCGTGTCGCGCATGAGATTGCACATGCACTTGGATTTGACTATAAGGTGTTTGAGAAAAATAATATGGTGGCTAAGATTGAATCTAATGATAGAAAGGGGCGTGTGGTGGTGAACTCAAACCAAACGAAGAAGATGACACAGAAATATTATAACTGCAATGAACTGGAAGGTTTGGAATTGGGTTATGTTGATAAAGTCCATACTCCGGCTTGGTCGCACTTGGCCTGGAGAAACACGAATGATGATTTGATGTCCTTTATGTACCTTTTTGGTGCCATGCACTACTCTGCTCTAACAATGTCTGTGTTTGATGATCTACCATTTTACACGGTTAATTGGGGCATGGAGGAGTCTATGAGTTGGGGCAACCAGAGTGGGTGCGAGTTGTTTAAAAGTGAATGCAAAGCTGAGGATGCCACCAAATATCCTGGGAGGTTTTGTGACATTAACAAGGATAAGAATGTTTTTTCATGTACAAGTGATCGCCTTGGATTTGGAACGTGTAAGCAACATGGTGACGATCGGCACCCCGAAAATAAACAGAAATGCTTTGTTTCTGAATCTGTCATACATCCATATTATGAAAAAGGAAAAGATCACATGTTTTTACTTTGCAGCGAAATACCATTGTTTAATTTTCCCGGGTCAATCTTTGGTAATAATGATTCGCTCTGCTTGGATACAGAAGAGTACAGTGCTGAAGTGTCGGAAAATGGTGAGATGGGTTTAACTGGTATATGTGCACGGGTCTCTTGTGATGAGGGTAAAGTGAGGGTGATGTACGACGGCATCAGCGGGTGGCAGGACTGCTCGGAGAACACTTCAATTGAGGTGAATCACCCGGATTCAAGCAATATCATCAAAATCAAATGCCCCAAGTACAGTGAGGTGTGCACCATTTTTTCTGATGGCAGCAGTCTTCTCCCACAGATTGAACCAAAACGACCGCCAGCACCAGCAACAACGACAACAACAACAACGACAGAAAATAATGAATCCCATCAAGAACAAGGGGAGACACATCATACAGAGAGTGGGCATACCAACAATAATTCCAGCAGCGTGCCCTCACAGAGTGCAGAGAGGACACAGGACACCACCGGCGTCAATGTGTCTACAAATGAAAACGTTACTGTTCCGCGGACGACTGAGGGAAATATAAACAAGGATAATCTTACATCTCCACGAGTGAAAGAGGAGCTTAAGATTCGTATGGGTAT